CCTTGTCAGGGATGCTCTCGGCTGATCCTGCGCTGAGCAGGGGGCTGGACTAGATGGCCCATAGGACCCCCTTCCAGCTCTGTGACTCTTCACTCTGTACAGGCTCAGAGAAGCACTGCAGGCAACTGGGCAACCAGGCCGGGTCCTAGCAAACTTGGGCTCACATTATGTGCTGATATAATTTGGAGCTGTCTGCGCACTTAATAGTATGGGGTGCGGCCCCGGATGTGAGAGATCTGTGTCTGAACCCGGATCTGCTCCAGATTCATCCCTCGGACAACCTGCATGTCACGCAGAAGGAGCTGATGGATTTCTGGAGCACACCATTTCACACGGGAGGCAGGCCCGGCTCATATTTTCGAAGGCCCTTTTCAAAGCCTCCCCCCCCCCCCCGGTGTCTGAAAGCAGCACCTCAGGGGGAAACGCCACTCTCAATCATATTCCCCGAGGGGCTAGCTTTCTGCATGCGGGGACTTAAAAAAAAAACCCCAGATCTGTGGCATCAAAAAAAGAAAGTAACAAACCGCTGACCCCCCTACAGTCTGAAGTGGCGTGGTCCAGAATTCTAGCTCCTCATTTTTGCTCCGTGTACAGAACGCCTTTATAAAGTGGCCTCTTGGCAACTCACGAGCCGCCTTTTAAGCCTCGGTTCCGTACGTGTAAAATCGGACTAATAGACCCTAATGTCATAGGTGGAGGGAGATATTTTCCCTGCCAGGAAACATCAGGCTCAGAGACCTGAACAAGATAAGAGCGGGCACATTAATTGGCTTTTTCGCTTCTTGCGTATTTTTGCCCCCCCAGAGGCCTGGAGGAGAGAGAAAGAGCACTTCCAATCCGGCCGCGCCAACAGCTACTCAAGCTGATTTTCGTTTCCTTTTAATCCTGTTTCTGTCCTGATTTCCCTCCAAGGAGTTCAGGGTGGCAAACATCAGTTATTCCATTTCATCTCCAACCCAGCAATGGAAGATGGGCGTTGGGGTGCCAACTCCGGGTTGGGAAACACCTGGAGATTTGGGGATTCCCCCCCCCGGCCCAAAACAGTCCAGTGGCACCTTTAAGACCAAGTTTTATTCAGGTACAAGCTCTCCCTCTTCTGCGAGGACAGATCTGCACATTCCCCCCCCCCAATAGCTAGCAATCCAAAACGAGCCAGTGGAGCCTACGCAGCGAGTGTTGCCATACAAGCTCTCCCTCCTCTGTGAGGACAGATCTGCACATCCCCCCTCCCCCAAGCTAGCAATCCAAAACAGTCCAGTGGCACCTTTAAGACCAAGTTTTATTCAGGTACAAGCTCTCCCTCCTCTGTGAGGACAGATCTGCCCCCCCCCCCCCCCCAATAGCTAGCAATCCAAAACGGTCCAGTGGAGCCTGAGCAGTGGGTGTTGCCATCTGACACACTTCAGGTGATGTCAGGGGGTGTGGCCTATGCAAATAAGTTATGCTGATGCGTTATGCTAATGAACTCCTGCACCTCTTTTTCTACGAAATGACCCCTGATAATATTAATCCATTCTGCAAACGTTCTAGTCATATCTCATAGTCACATTAATCAGATCCATCAGTTTGGAGAAGAGGAGATTGATGGGGGGACACGATTGTCTCTCTTTAAATATTTGAAAGGCTGGTCATTTGGAGGAGGGCAAGGAGCCATTCCAGTTGGCAGCAAAGGAGAGGACCCAAAGCAACGGGTTGAAATTGCATGCAGAAAGGTATCGGCTGGATATTAGGGAACACTTTTTCACGGTCAGAGTGGTTCAAAGGTGGAATTGGCTGCCTAGGGAGGTGGTTTAGCTCCCTTTCACTGGCAGCTTTCAGGAAGAGGCTGGAAGAATATTTGTCAGAGATGCTCTAGGCTGGTCCTGCATTGGGCAGGGGGTCGGACGAGATGGTCTGTATGGCCCCTTCCAACTCTGTGATTCTATGAATTCTGGATATAAGCTTTCAGGTGCCTGCACACTTCTTCAGATTGGGACTTGTGGTCTCTACAGGTGAGTATAGCTTATTGTAAGTAGGATCCTATACAGGGCACTTTCACACATGCTAAATAATGCCCGTTTCAATTCACTTTAGCGACTGTTTGCAAGCAGCCTTTGCCATTTCGCACAGCAAAATCCAGCTGCAAAGTGCATTGAACGTTGATTGAACATGCGTTATTTAGTGTGTGTGCGTGTGTGTGAAAGAGTAATTTCTGTACTGCTTAATCATAGAATCACAGAATCACAGAGTCAGAAGGGGCCATAGAGGCCATCTAGCCCAACCCTCTGCCCAATGCAGGACCAGCCTAAAGCACCTCTGGCAAATATTCGTCCAGCCTCTTCTTGAAAGCTGTCAGTGAAGGGAGGCCCCCCCCCCTAATATCCAGCCGATACCTTTCTGCATGTAATTTAAAACCATTGCTTCGGGTCCTCTCCTCTGCTGTAATTTAAAATCGTTGCTTCGGGTCCTAATGTATCATGTGAATGCTACTACTATGCTCCAGTTAACATAAGAACATAAGAGCTGCCAATGTTGGATCAGGCCAAAGGCCCATCCAGTCCAACACTCTGTGTCACACAGTGGCCAGAAATACCAGGTGCTATCAGGAGGTCCACCAGTGGGGCCAGGACATTAGAAGCCCTCCCACTCTTGCCCCCCCCAGCACCAAGAAGACAGAGCATCCCTTGCCCCAGAGCCCCTATCTATACCTTGTGGCTAATAGCCACTGATGGACCTCTACTCCATATGTTTATCTAATGAGCCAGTTTGGTGTAGTGGTTAAGTGTGCGGACTCTAATCTGGGAGAACTGGGTTTGATTCCCCACTCCTCCACTTGCACCTGGCTGGATGACCTTGGGCAAGCCATAGTTCTGATAAGAGCTGTCCTTGAAAAAGAGCAGTTTCTGTCAAGAGCTCTCTCAGCCCCACCTAGCTCACAAGGCGCCTGTTGTGGGGAGGGGAAGGGAAAGGAGTTTGTAAGCCGCTCTGAGACACCTTTGGGAGGTGAAGGGCGGGGTATAAATCCAATCTCCTCCACCTCCTCCTCTTCTTCTTCCCCCCAAAGCTACCCTGCAGGGAGCCGCACAATATGTGTGAAAGAGCCGCATGAGACTCCTGAGCCACAGCTGGCCACCCCTGAGTCGGACTCGACTGTGCGAATGAACAACAAAAGAGTTATGCTGTATCCAGAAAGGGGGAGGGGGTATTTAAACCCAGATGAACTGTGTGCCAGATTCCCGGTTTGGAGTTTCCCTGCAAAACTGGCAGTGTGCTTACCCACGGTCAAGGGAAATGGCCCCTCCATGTCCTTTCCTACAACTAAAAGACTCCTATGACAACACTGGAAAGATAAAAGCCCACCTCCGGTAAATCAAAGGAGCGAGGAACTTGGTACTCTGTCAACATTTGAACATACGGCATATGGACGGCGATTGCGTACAGACTTATTTTTAGATATTTGGAAACCATTTATAGAAACTTGTGTGAGACGCATTGAGATTTTTGGGACTTGACTTCTATGTACTACTGATCTTTACTTTTCTGCACCACTGCTGGTTTTTGTAAGATCACCTCGGCTTCATCTGGTTATCTGGTTATTGTGTCAGTGAACTGGGCATTAAGAACATAAGAGAAGACAATGTTGGATCAGGCCAATGGCCCATCCACTCCAACACTCTGTGTCACACAGTGGCCAGAAATACCAGGTGCCATCAGGAGGTCCAGCAGTGGGGCCAGGACATTAGAAGCCCTCCCACTGTTGCTCCCCCCCCAAGCACAGAGAATACAGAGCATCCCTTGCCCCAGACTGAGAGTTCCAATCTATACCTTGTGGCTAATAGCCACTGATGGACCTCTGCTCCATATCCTTATACTAATACCGAAGTAGCCCGCTCTGTGCGGATATCTAAATCAGCACAGAGGGGGCACTTGGGGGGCAGGGGGAGGTTTAAGCACACGTGGGGCAGTCCCCACGTGTGCACAAAAATCTTAAATGTGGGGGGGAATCGGGGGGATGTTTAAATCCCCCCGAAACAGAG